GTGCGCTGTGTCGCCGGGCGGGGCCAGGGCTGCGTGCGGCGGAGGCGGGGACTGTGTGCGCCGCGCCGCGGGGCGGGGCCAGGGCCGCAGGCTGCTTAAGGTGGCGAGACTTGGGTCGGCTGACCGGAACTTGAAGGTTTTGCCCGGGAGTCGGCGGGGGTTTCCGAGGTCCTACTAGGTGATTGTTCGACCTCGGGGTCGAGTCGCCTCCGAACCTAATAGGGACCTCTGCTTCTTGGGCTGGAATCCCCAGCAGGCGAGGACCTTAGCCCACCCCACCAAGTCCCCCACCCACGCCCCTCTTGATGCACAGAACAAGTGGAAGTCGAGGGGAAAGCCGAGGGGGAAAGGACTTTGCAGCCCCGGGACTACTTGGTGTGTTCAACAGGGGTTTGAGTGCCTACTGAATGCTAGGTCCCTGCTTTCGTAGAGCTTGTGTTCCAAAAGTGAAGGCAAGGAAAAACGGACAAATAAGACGGCTTGAGGCAGTCATAGCGCTGTGATTAGAAAAGAAAAGGGGCCTGGTGGGCTGCAGAGGGATCTGAGGAAGTGCCATTTTTGCTGAGACTGGACGGTAAAAAGTGATCTGGGGGAAAGTCGTTCAAAGCAAAAGGCGCGGCCAGTGCAAAGATGGGAACGGCCGCGGTGGGAGAAAACAGACATCCTCGGAGCTTAAAGAAAGGGGAGAGTGGGGAAGGGTCAGGATGAAGTCAAAGCCTGATCGTGTGTAACCCACATACAGTGTGGCCTGGACTCAGTTTCCTCTTCTGAAAGGCAGAGGTGATGCACGTTCCCGTTTCAGGGTGTTGTCGAAGGACTAAACGACACGCAGCAAGTGCTCCAGTACGCTGGGTCGGTATGCACTGTGCATCAAGCCTTTGTTGAACGTCCCCTCCCATTCCCAGTGCCCAGCTGCGGCGGCGAGAAGCACTGGCTCCTACTGCCCCTGCTACCCCCACACTCCCGCCCCTCGTTCTGACCACGTTTTCCTTCAGAATGCTTCACCGCTGCATCTTCTGCAGCGCTCGCCCGTTCCAGGCACTGGTCTCCACCTTGTCCCACAAGCAGTAACTGGGGCCCGTCGCGCCCCCTTCCAGCCTCTCTCGCGGGAGGAAGGGCCTGGGAGCGCTCCCCAGGTAGGACCTGACCCCGCCTTCGGCGCGATTGGCCACTAGAAGTGTCTGTCCAGCCGTCATTGGAAGGGACAGCCCTAACGGCCCGCCCCCTCCCGCCGTCCGGAAGTGAAACCGACCTCGGACGGAAGTCGGCGGGCCCGAGCGGAAGAGGCGGGGACGGAGGGTCTTCCCTGCGACTGTGCCACGTCCGCCGAGGTTGCGGCCGCGCGG